TCACCCAATAATGAAAATTCTATCATGATTTAACACGTTCTTCTAAATATGTAGTAGTTTTTTTCTTGTGTGCAGTGTTGTTACATGTAACTGTTATGTAATTTAATTATAAAATAAATGTAACTGTAATCTATTACAGTAACAGCATTTTTTTAAATTAAATTTACATTTACGAAAATGTTAATGATTAAAAAGGGTGTTACATCTGGATATTTTCTGCAAAAAGCTAGGATATGTTTAATAATATTAATTTGTTGCTTTGCCTGTTATTGATGTGCACAATGCCTCTTGCCTTTTAAAGGCCCTTTTGGTAAAGCAATGCTATTCTGATGCTTTTGCTTGTTTCTCTTGTTTGAATTGGCAGACACCACGTCACATTGCTGCTGAAAGCTTTAGGCTACAATCTGCCTGGTTTAAATGATTGAAAATGATTTACATTAGAAATGTAGAAAAGTAATGAAAATGTAATCAGTTACATTAATTGAAATGCTTACTCTACTTATTTAATTTTGAAAAGAGTAACTTTTCATTTTTGGGGTGAACTGTTCCTTTAAAGCAGTCAGATCCACAGATGAGTGTTTTGTTTGTGTTTTGAGTGTTTTGTTTCACTTCTGTTTGCATATGAAAGTGCTTAAGTAACACCAACTCATATTGAACTCCTATTATGTCTCTTATTAATCTTAGGTCTCATTTTAAAGTCTTGTTTTATTTATCATTCAACATTGGTATTAGGAAAATATATGCAAAATACAGATTTAAATAGTAATTTGGTCATTAATAACCAACATAATGATCACAGTTTGTAACATGTTTCTGTGTTCTCTTTAGGCGTGACCGAAGAAGTGAAGTCAATATCAGTACAGGAGGGAGATTCTGTCACTCTGAACCCTGATGTTACTGAAAAACAGAAATATTTGTTAATACAGTGGATGATCGGAAGCACTCGAATAGCTGAAGTCAACAGACTCACGCAAACCAGCTATACATACGATGCTGATGGGAGATTCAGAGACCGATTAAAGCTGGATCCGACTGGATCTCTGACCATCACGAACACCAGAACCACAGACTCTGGACTTTATCAACTAGCAACAGTCAACAGAGAGACCAGCTACATGGATTATAATGTTACTGTCTATGGTGAGAATTACAGCATAATTAGCCCTTCATTTTAATTATAAATTTGTCATCACATTTTAAAATGGTGCTTTTCTATTTTCAAAATTTCTTAAATACACATTTTATAATATTGACTGCTTTAATGCCAAAATTCTTAATTGTCAGAAAGATCATCGAGCACAAATTGTGTGGCGTCCAGCTGTGCGATGAACAATTCATCCGTAAACCAGACTGAGGATGCCAGCATTACTGAACTCTATCAGCCGAGTTCAGGTAAGTCACTGGGTTTCTATGGGGAACATTTACTTAAGTCGTCTTCCGTGATTTTGCAGGAATAGAAAACAGGTGGCAGACAAGCGACAGAAATGAATCACTCGTCTCGTGCTGCTCTAGAGAACATTAGCGTTCGAGGCGACAAAACATCATGGGGAAAGAATCACATAATCACATTCTTTAGGGAGCCGTAGAAATTATCTAGAACCGCTTATGTCAGCCATGCAATCCTACTAATGTTATTTGGCTAAGCAAGGAAAGACAAACATTCACAGATTGAAGCTTTTGTGGATTCATTGCCTTCCCAATAACCCACAAAATCCATGCTTCGTCTGTTTTAATTATAAATAAATGCATAGTTGTGATTCAGTGTCCTTTATTCTTTCTTTTCAGACCACATTCACTGTTGTGGTTTTACTGAAGCTGTGATCCGATTGGCTCTCTCTGCTCTGGTGGGCGTGGCTGCTGTTGCTGTGCTGGTTTATGACATCAGATCTACAAGAAGTGAGCTGAACAGGACAGAAGAGACTCAATATCTTTCTCAGACCCATGGAGCAAAATCAGACCAGCAGTATGAACTGAGCAGAAGGTTGAGCTGCAGATATGTCCAAATATAAAGCAAAACACACATTAATGCTCTGCACCTTTACTGTTCCTTACACAGCTGTTTAATAACATAATATTTTTGCACTCATTGGCCATTTATTGATTGTATCTGCACAGAATATGACTTTGATCAATCTATTAAATACATGGCTGTAAACATAATTACTGTAACAAAATAATTGAGCAACACAATTGATGGCATGAATGATCTCAAAAGCATTCTTTTTTGAAGATGTGGTGGGGTTCAACTGATTTTTACATAAAAGATTTAAACTACTAATAAATATAAAACACTGTTTGTCTTTATAAAGATGATTTGATGTTTATGAATAACTTTATCAAGCAGCAATTACCCAGATCCAGCTTTCCTGGAACTCTAGCCATCCTTTCCAAAATAGTCAACACCTTGTTAAATTCTTCTGCCTGTCAAAAGGTGCAAATATAAGCAGGAAAAAAGCAGGAGGCAGGAGATGTTTATTTGATCTTCTCAATCTTCAGTCAGACTTCATCTGACCATCACAAATTTCATAAGTGTTATTATACCAAAGCAAATAGAAAATTACTGCTTAACAGCATTGTCCTATGACAATAACAACAGTGAGAAGGAGACATTGCATCTCTGTTTGACTTAAGACAACATTAACAATAACAGAAAAAGAATAATTAATTCATCAGTTAGCTGCAGGTCTTCTGCAGTGATGTTGGTGTCAACACACTTCTGTCTTTACTTTTATAAGCTGCTGTTAGTCAGGTGCTTAATCACACAAGGCTTCATTCCAGCAAACAGGTTGGTTTCTCAGTTTCATAAAAGCAGAAATATGTTGTTGAAGTCTGATGCTGGTGATGTTACAGTGACTGGTGCTGGTGGGCGTGTCTTATCTCATTAAAGTGACCTGGTTTCTTCCTGCTGATTCACTCCATTAGGAACATGTTCCTGCAATGGCAGTGTCACAGCAGTCACTGATTCATTCACTCGGTTTCCTGGCGAATCTGGAAGAAAATACAGAGACAATCATAGAAATGAAAAATAACAAGAAAATGAAAGATAAAAATCAGGAATCTGGATGCTCTAGAAAATATTTTGACAATATGAGACTTTTTTTTCCCCTTGAAAGCCTTGAAAAATAATAGAGAAGGATACTGAGACTTTATTCATCTTCCTGTTGACTTCAGAAGATCTGGTACATGGAGGGGAAGATTATCAGAGAATAAGGGTTTTTATCGTTGACAAAAAAAAAAAAAAACTGGCATGTTTGTAACCAGGACCTTCATTTTCTTTTTTGACTTTCCATTTTGGGTGCAATTAAACTGGACATTCATGAGCAGAACCATATATTTTGCTTTATATTTCCGTTTTTTTTTTTCTCCATGTGAGGTATGCAAAATTGCCTGTATTTTTTACTTTTTCATTATGGTTATAATTTTTTTTTTAGGTCTAACCTTTTCCAAAAAAAGTTAAAACGAGTTAATGCAGAGAAATGTAACATCAAACCAGATTAATATATCTGTTGTAGGAATGTTGATGCAGTAATTACATGAGGCTATGAGACTAAAGTAAAAAAAAACATGCATGCACTTTTTCTAAAACTTTACATGCATCACGCGTCATTTTCATGCTTTCTTATTATTGCAAGTGTTGAATTTAGTCCTGTATCAAAATCCTAATGAAGAAATCATTACTACTTCCTTTCTATGCCTTCCATAAAACTGTTAATTTTTCCCTACTGACTTTGCAACAATACCATCTTCCTGTGCTGCTATTTTACCACCTTTGTTACCAAAGTTATATTACTTACCTGTTAATCACTGATTTACCTCACTTCTGCTTTAATATCCACCAAGTTTTTCTTTAATGCTGCTTTTGCTAATTCATCAGCTGTTTCATTCCCTATTATCCCAATGTGAGCCAACAAAAGTATACTATTATACCCCGTGTGATCAAGCTGTAGAATAATGTATAGATTTCCACTAGCAGGTCTTCTCTTTCACTTCTTGTAGATATTACACTTTTAAGAGCTGATGAAGAATCTAAGCAAATTCCAGTCCTATTTGGCTTAATCTGTTCAACCCATTGTACTATAATAGCAATTAATTCTGTGGAATATAGCCTACAGACAATTTATCACTTAGTCTATTCTTAAACTTATTTGTGTCTTAAATCTAGGAAAATACACTGCTATATTAACTCAGAGCTTGATTCATTTTGCCAAAAGCACATCTGGTCTATAAAGTTCTCCCCAGTGTTCCCCTGCAAACCATGTGATAAGAAAATTAGATAGAAGTCAAAACATCAATCGAATACACAAATATCAAGCATTTTATTACACTATTTACAGGGTATTTGAAGCATTTTAAAATCAAATTAAGGCTTTTAATATCCCTTTTTAGGACCTGCACAAATAAAATTAATACCATATGAGCAAGATAGGGCACGGTCTAACTAAAAGTAGCATAATTAGTTATTCTTTTAGGGAATAACACAATATTGTAATACATTGCTTTTAAAAGTAACTGTCCCCTACACCGATTAGCAGTAACAGAATAAGAATAAGTAAATAAATATTGACGAGTAAATAATAATAAAGTAATAAGTACCGATATGAAAATCAACACTCTCATTGTAATGTACAACACTACTGAAACAAAATCATTTATTTGTTCGTTGTTAATGTTTCAGTGTTCAGACTATTTTTGCACCATCTTGACTGTAAGGAATTATTTCCAAAACGGTAAACAATGTTTCGTTCACAAAATAAAGGCTCTTTACTGGCATCTATGGTTCCATGATGAACCTTTAACATCCATGGAACCGTTCCGTTCCACAGAAAGTTCTTTATAGTGAAAAAAAAGCTTTAAAGGGGTCATATGATGCTTTTTTAAACTTTGATAAAGAATATCTCTTTGGTTTTGAGACTTTAGTCTTTGCAACTTCAGGGATCTTATCTATGCACAATCAGCTTGTAACACTCCAAAGAGAAAGGAAAACTTGAAATAGCATCATATGACCCCTTTAAAGTATTCTTCACATTAATAAAAGCAGGTTATTTTAAGAACTGTGCACTGTTTTTGGAGAATCAAAAACTTTCCCAATACTAGTGGTTGGTAATTGCAGCGCTACAGATCATGGGAAAGTGTCACGCATCCTGAGTGTTAAGAGTAAAAGTTTCTCACTTTCATAAAAGCAGAAATTTGTTGAGGTCAAATGTTGATGTCACAGTGTTGGCGCACTGGTGGGCATGTCTTATTTCATTAAAGTGACCATGTCTCTTCCTGCTCATTCACTCCATCCACATCGTCCGACAGCAGCATTACTGCAGTCTCTAATTCACTCACTTGGTTTCCTGTGGAACCTGAAAGAAAATACAGAGATAATCATGGAAAGTAAAAAGAGAGAAATAATACACATCTACTTATAGATGATGTTGCAGCTACACAATCTTAAGGACGACACAAGAGTTCCAAAACACAGAACTGTTGTATATATAGATAGTCATTATAATAAATGATGTTCTACTCACCGGTGACAGTCACATTGATTCTCCTGAATGTGGTCTTTTTAGTGTTGATGATCTGCAGTTTAAAATGTCCAGAGTCTGTATTTGTGAGGTTTGTGATGGTCAGAGATGCAGTCGTCTTGCCCAACCTAAGTCTGCCTCTGAATCTCTCATTAACAGTAGTTGTTCCTGAATCTTTTTTAACAACGAGAACGTTTTCAGCTCCAAGCGTCCACAGTATCAGGTCATCGCTCTGTATTTTAGCATTAGTCTGGAGAGTGACAGAACCTCCTGCCGTCACTGACAATGACTTTACTTCATGTCACAGCAGCACACAGAAACAGAGAAATTCAGTATTAGTGTCTGAATGAATTTTGCCAGCCATTTCATTCTTAAAACAACATAAAACCAGACTAATATAGCTGTTGTAGGAATGTTGTAGTAAATGTATCAGAATTATTATAAGTATTTTACAAAATCAAAGTCATATTTTGAGACTATTTTCAAACGGAAGTTCCTATAATTAATTCATGCAATATTATGACTTTAATCTCCTAATCGTGTACTACTTACAATGAGAAGTAACTGAAATCTAAAAGTAATTAAAATTTGAGCACTTTGAGATAGTGTTAATTTTTAGATAGTCTAAACTCACTGCATGATCTTTTACACACAAGGACTTAGTACTTACCATTGACGGTAACAATGAATCTCTTGTAGTTGGTTTTTCTGGCTCTGCTGCTGATCTTGAATTTATAGAGTCCAGAGTGAATGGTCCTGACATTACTGATAGTGAGATCTCCAGTCTTGTCATCCAGCCTCAGTTTGCTCCTGAATCTCCCATCAGCACCCTCCTGTGTCCTTTTGATCCCTCTTTTAATTTCAGCAATGAGATTGTCTTCAGTTTCATAGCACCACTTCATCGTAACATCTCCCTGTGAATCAGTAAGACCAGCGTGTAGAGTGATAGATTCTCCCTCCGTCACTGTCTCTTTCTTCTCTTCGACTGTCACAGAAATGCATAGAAACATGAGTGTTCAGGTGAAGATCTCAGTTACTGTACATTCATACAATCACACTATAAAGTCCATATGACTCGTGCTATATTTCATGTCTTTTAAGTGAGAAATGTAAAACGTGCCACAGCACGTCAACGCTTTTGGCAAAACATTGGCATTGAATCAACAATTTTAGTCCGTTGTAATTATATGATTTGATTTCAGGAGACTTCACTTGACATATATGGCATGAATTGCTTGGACAACATTACAGTATATTTATGATACTTTTCCAATTTAGAGATCGAATGTTGTGTTCAGTATGAAGTGTATGGAGAAGAGCAGTGTGAACAACAGCATACACGTTTGAAATGATATGATGTGGGGAAATGAATTTTCATTTTAGTACAAATAACAAACACATAAAACATAACCGTATACGTGCATGTATGTTAGTGAAAAATTTAATGGAGAAAAACTTATTGAATGCCATATTTGAAAGACACATAGACCAGGAATGATGTATTAAACTTATTCTGTGCTGACAAGAATTTATAGAAATTCACTGAATATCAAAAATCTCACTAGTCTGAAACTTACTTCAGAGCATGAACATCCTAGTCAGTGGTTTGATTTTAAATGAAATACTACAATGTACACAGTTTAAAGAAAATCCTAGCAAGTTTGGAGGAAAGGTTTACGTATATTATACTTACCCATTTGCATTTTTAAGTTATAAATCCTGCGGCGATAGTAGATCACAAAGGCAATCAGGATCAGCAGAACAGGAACAATAACACCAACAACTATTCCTGCTATAACACTCGAAGAAAGACCTGCATCTGGGACAGGTATGAAGAGACACTGAAAGTGTCAGTCAATGTGATAATCTGAAATTGTTTCAGATATATGCTAATAATACCATATATCGCTATAATTGAAAGAGTTACTCACCACTTACAGAAACCAGGAATCTCTGCAAGCTCTCACTGCCTCTGATCTGTAGTTCATAAAGTCCAGAGTCTGTGGTTCTGGTGTTTGTGATGGTCAGAGATCCGGTCTGATCCAGTTGTAGTCGATCTTTGAATCCCTCATCAGCATCGGTTAGTGAGGTCTCATTTGTCTCAAAGTCAATTTTAGCCAGGAGGATGCCTTTATCACCAAACCTCCACAGCATCAGAGCATCTTGGTGTATTTCAGAATCAGTATGTAGAGTGACAGGATCTCCCTCCAGCACTGACAATGACACTGACTTAACTCCGTCTGTCTTACCAACCACAACTGGAAAAATGAGCAGAACAATAATAAAATGTAGAGTTTTACAATGTATCAGATTTGAAATTCTGAAAGAACGTTAGTTCCATTATGGGCCAGTTGCATAAACTTAGTCACCATGTTAAGACTGTGTCTTAACTAGTTTGACCAACTAGTTGCCAGGGGGAAATCAGTCTTACCTTTCCACTACAAATAAGACCAATCTACCTTTTCATAACTGAATTAAAATGTTATGACCAGTCTTAAAGAAAAAAAATTAGATGACTAACTTTTTAAGACTAGTCTAAACAGTTTATGCAACCAGCCCCTGGGGCCAGTTGCATAAACTTAGCCACCATGTTAAGACTGTGCCTCAAGAACTAGTTTGACCAACTAGCAGTTGCCAAGAGGTAGTCAGTCTTACTTTTCCAGTATATGACCAATCTACCTTTTCATAACTGAATTAAAAAGGTTATGACCAGTCTTTAAGAAAAAAAATATATAAAAAATGAGATGACTAACTTTTTAAGACCAGTCTGCCCCTGCTTGTATTGTGCAAAATCAGGAAATTCTCACTTAATCACTTAATTCTCACTCAAGTGTATGGTTTGAAATCATACAGACCAACAAACCAAATTATTATTAACCCTGTTTAAATATGAACAGTTTGAAACAGGAAAAACAACTCAGAGTTTAGAAACTGGATCATTGTTACAATGGAAGACTTACCAAAGACAGTAACATTAAATATCTTGATTGTAGTCTTTTCTCTAGAGAAGGATAGTTTATATCGTCCAGAGTGTCTGATTCTGGTGTTTCTGATGGTGAGAGAGCCAGTGTTTTGATCCACCTGCAATCTGCCTCTGAATCCCACATCATCGGTGACCAAAAATGAGGTCAGGTCATCCTGTCTTCGGATTTGAGATATGAGAGTGTCTTTAGGTCCAAACATCCATAATACTGTATCATCATTCAATATTTCCGAAAGATCAGATTGTAGAGTGACAGCATCCCCCTCTGTCACCGACATGTTCACAGTTTTACTTGTCTCTCCATCTAGAAAACAAACAGAAACGGTTTTAATGATACAACACTAACTACAGCAAACAGATTCAACTGTAATCATTGTGTGAGCTGCTAAAAAAGACAAATATGTGATTAGCCTACTTTTTAGACTGTTAAGGGAAAAATTGTGAAAATTAAGACCATAAATGTGAAAATTAAAACAACACAAGCTATGTATCAAAACAAGATAAATGTATGAAGCACGATGAATACGTGATTAACAATTGTTTGCCGTAAGAATAAGAAGAATGTAAGCAAATAGGCCTATTGAACGTTTAGGCATGCAGACGTTTTAACCAAACTGGATTCTACCGATGATGAAGATGCACTGTTTACTTTGAAAACAGGCAACAGTCTATGAAAACAAAAAGACTATGAATACAAAAATTCAGCAGGCTTTTTGCCGATCGACACCTATTAAATTTGATTTTGCAAGGGCCTCGTTATATTTGGGGGTCTTAGTTACCGAAATGATCAGGTCAAAAAGCCTTCCTGATGTCGAGATTGAAGTCAGCTTTAGGCTAAGTTAAATTGCGCTGATTCTTAAGACATGGGACAAAACATGCCCGGCAATTGTAACTGCTATTAGGTTTAAAAATAACAATATTTTCAATTGTAAAAGTTATGGGGGATTAATAATAGAATGTATTTAACACAATTATCCCCTTCAATTTAATTGTATCATTATTATATGAAATCTATGACACTTATTGTCTTCTCACTGCATCTAAAACAGTGTCCACAGAGAAGGGTTTAATAATTAATATGCTATAAAATGGATAAAAAAAAATGAATGATGAAAAAGACCTTGTTTTATCAAAAGCATCACTTAATAATATCTCTTATCAAAGCAAGGTTGTTCTTCAATGACACATGCATGTTTCATAAGGTTTCAAAGTTGTGTCTCCACTTTTTGTCAACACCGTCAGACATTCATTAAAATGTAATAAAATCAGGGAATATCAGGACAGACATGCTCTGGTCAGTTTTATAGTTTTAGAATATTTTAAATCCTAATGTTAATATTTCCTGTGTCACAGCCATGATATGTCAACCCCATCTTCCAATTTCTGAGGAAATTTGAAATATTTCGATCATTTTATTCGCCTGAAGCAGGTTCCATGATTAGCATTTAGCATCAACAGAAAAAAAAACAAATGGATATTACATGAACTCCCATTTGTTTTGTGAAAGAAATGCCAAATTTGTCAACACCGTCAGATGTCACCACCATAAGATTTTGTGTTCCAATGATAGGCCTATATCAAAATATGTGACTCTTGATTAAAAGCTTTATAAACAATAACATACTCACTGTTTGTTGTGTTTGCTTTAATACAGTAATTAATTGATTCAATGTATTTGATAGTTAAAATGACTACAAATGCAGGTTTTCGTCACCACCGTCAGATGTGTCAACTCCGTCAGTTCTGTCACCTCCGTCAGTTGAATATTTTGATAATATTTCATTATGGTATTTTATATTTGTTGTGGAATTGTTGGTCACATGTGAAAGTATAATCTGTCTGCTAACATGATAATGTGTTTTGAAATGTTAAAAACATCTTGATTGCTGTTAAAGATAAAGTTGAAATTATATTACACAGTCCAAGTTTAAAAAAAGCACATTTTGATAAAAAAAAATAAAATAAAAAAGTTGGGAGGTTGTATCAAAGCATAGCTCAGTAGGCTACAGTAGCTACATAAGTAAATGTAGTTTCATTTGTCCGAGTGCAAGGTTTTATTTGTTAACTTTTGCACCCTGTTTTGTCCCACTTAGTGATTGGTTAGACCTTGTAAATGAACAAATTCTAGAAATAAGAAAACAATAGGAACTGTTTTTGGTGTTATGGTGTGGATCCATATCGAAACCGAAAGTAAACACATTTCCAAAAACTTACCAGCCATTAATAATAGAAAGACCAATAACATTGTCCTCCTGTTTTTGTAGAGCTGCGCAGAATCCGAATTTAATAAAGATGATCAATGAGTTTACTTTATATTTTTATGTTGTTGAATTGCGTTTGTCGTCACGAAGCACCCAGACTGATAAACTCAAAACAGCATAACAAAAGCACCAAATTCTAACGGAGAGCCGTTAAACCAGCTGGGAATTACGACTTTTCTCAACGATATGAATAAAACGTAAAGTCCCAGTAATGTTATCCTTGAAGGAATTTCGAAACTCGACTCGCCTCCACTTGGCATTGTGTGACGCAATAGCGGGCGTTTCCCATATTGGCACGTATCCAGCTGTTCACAACCTGTCAGCAGCTATCTGACTAGAAACACTTTGTCCCTTCATTCTGAAGCTGTGAAAGAAATGTAGTTACTAAATAAATTTCTGGTGGCTGTTTTCACCGTTTACACTCCATCCTGTACGCTACTTTCACGAAAAACCGTAGCCTAAGTGTTTTACGAAGTTGTAATAAAATCGAAAGAAAACGTAGCGTTATGTCAACCAGCGCTTTTCGTCTGTGACTTGTGTTCTAAACGAAAGCGAGATGAACTTCCGTAAATAGGCCCTCATGTTAAATCAATAATTTCAAGATACTCTGATATTGATGAATTGTGCTCCTTTTGTAAAAATGAGAAAGAGGTGTTATCACATTTATTTTTTGATTGTAAAATTACCCAAAATTTTTGGAAGGAATTGGCAGAATTTATTTTTAATCTAGTAAAGGATAAATACTGTTTTTCTTTAAAGGATATTATTGTGTACTATGAAAACAATGTTAACAAAGGTCTTGAATACATTGTTGATTTATTAATATTGCTGGCAAAATTTTATATACATAAACAAAAATGCTTAATTTCATCCCAATATTTAAGGTAGTGGAATTTGATTGTTTTATATCTTCTCTGAAATTGTTAAAAAAATTAAAAGTCATTAACATGTTTAAAATATTATGACATTTTTTTTTCAGTTCCCGTTACTAATTAATGTCACACTTTGTATAGCACGGACTGTCTTATGCTATGCTCTGTTTGTTATTTGTTCTATTTTCATTAATTAAAAAAATAATAAAAATAAAAAAACTTCCGTAAATAGGCTATCTGCTCACTGAGTACAGCGGACACTGCATAGGGACCTTAAGAATTGGAACGCAGCCACGGTAGTGCAGTGTCAGCAAAACGGCGCATAGACAGTATTACTAGCAAGGATTGAAGAGCACGTTTTTCCTAGTTCACTTTATGCATTTTATTGGACATGTTAATTATTGTTCCGTTTACATGTAATGTTCCCTCTCCAAAACGTTTGTTTTGAATGGTAAGAAAACGTATTCTATGTCAACATCTTGGCATGGCATCCGGTTATATTCGTTATAAAAACTTACTAGGGAACGCCTACTAGAGAGCCTGTAGACATAGGCGATATGCAGCGACAGAGTCTGCTTTTTAGACAATACTGGTGAATGACAAATAGCCACCAATGAATATGGTTAACGCTTTTATTTTGTTATGTGTGTGCTTGTGGCGTCTGGTTGGTAAGTTATACCTGTTTTTACTTAAATAAATGCCATTACAATAAATTACATTACCTCATAAAAAGTTTTCAGACAGTTTATTATCACTGCTAGTTTTGTGGCCTGTTGAGAAATTTAGTGGAAGGAATTCCAAAACAACATATTGTTTTCTTGTCTAAAAACATGCTGATCCACAGTAGGCCTGTTATCCTTGCATAATGCTACTTAATAAAATCACTTTGCACTGAATTCAGGAACTTTCATTGTTATTCATGTCTAATTATATCCCACTTTAAAGTCTTGTTTTCATTCAGCATTCACACGGAGGATACGTCTGCATTATACAGATTTAGTATGGTCAACATACAGTTTATGGGGAGTATTTAGTCTGTTACAAAACATGTTCCTCTTTGTTCTCTAGATGTGACAGATGAAGTGAAGACAATATCAGTGATGGAGGGAGATCCTGTCACTCTACACACTGATGCTAATAAAATACAGACATATTTGTTAATACAGTGGATGTTCGGAAACACTCGAATAGCTGAAGTCGGCAAGCTCACGCAAACCAACTCCACATATGATGGTCCTGATGGGAGATTCAGAGGCAGACTACAACTGGATCAGACTGGATCTCTGACTATCACAAACACCAGAACCACAGACTCTGGACTTTATCAAGTAACCGTTTTCAGCCGTGAGACCAGCTACATGAGTTTCAGTGTTATGGTCAGTGGTGAGTGTAATTTTCCAGGACTTTTCTTCATTTGAATTATATCGTTGTCTTGTCATTGTAATATTTTAAAATGTTTATTTTCTGTTCTTGTCATGGTGTTAACTATTAAAGGGATAGTTTGCCCAAAAATGAAATTCTGTCACCATTTATTTACCCACAAGTTGTGTCAAACCTGTATGAGCTTCTTTCTTCGTAAATGAGGACATATTTTTTAATTTTTTGGGTGAACTATCCATTTAATTCCATTTAAAAAATAAATCTATTATAAAGATCAGAACTGTGTGTGTGATGAGACCAGTGTCACACTAACATCTGTCACTTTCAGAGACTCCACAAAGTTCTACAACACCAGAAAGTTCAACAAGCTCAAGTTTTGTGTCGTCCAATTTAATCGTCAACCAGACTGAATATGTCAACATTACTGAACTCCATCAGCCAAGTTCAGGTATGCCACTCATGATGCTAGTGTGAGAGCAGAACTGTGTTAAATGTGTTCAGTTAATGTGACATGAGTTTTTATAAAACTTTAAGATTTTTTGTTTCTGAAATAGTGTTAGTCGTGGCTTGATGTCAGAATTGAGGCCACGTTTATGCAGTTGTGACCAACCACAATACCAATGCAGCACATATTCATAGATGTTGCTTTATCTTACTGCAGATGGGTGTGAACAAATCAACCACATAAACCCATTAAAATTGCAATATTTTAATTTACATTATATTTTTTCATTCAACAGATGAGTTATCTAATGTGGCTCACATTGCATTCAAGGTGTACATTTGATCAGCACATGCATTTGTGGAGAAAGAATAACCTGTTTGTGTTTGCTTTTTTTTTCTTTTTATGATTTCACTGGAACAAAGAATAGACCACAGACGAGCAACAGAGGCATGAAGCATGTGTCTGAGGGCCGTGTGTGGGTGTGGTGCCCCAAGTTGCTCAGAAAAAAAAAACTAGTGCTCAAAAGCAAAATATATCTTGGAGAAAGAATCAAATAATCACACAGGTTTCTATGAGAGCATAGATTTAAGATGTGGCTAAAGCCCTTAAAAGAGTCTAGAATTGCTTACATTAAACATGTTATTTGGGTAAACAAAGAAAATGGACATATGAAAGTGGACATATGAAAGTGACGTGACATGTGGCCAAGTATGGTGACCCATACTTGGAATTACTGCTCTGCATTTAACCCATCCAAAGTGCACACACACAGCAGTGAACACGCACACACCGTCATTTATGCTGCGGCACCCGGGGAGCAGTTGGGGGTTCGGTGCCTTGCTCAAGGGCACCTCAGTCGTGGTATTGAAGGTGGAAGAGAGCGCTGTACATTCACTCCCCCCACCTACAATCCCTGCCGGTACGAGACTCAAACCCGCAACCTTTGGGTTACGAGTCCGACTCTCTAACCATTAGGCCACGACTTCCTAATGGTTCATGACTTTTGCATGAAATGTGCATGCAAACATATTCAAACACACAGTGAAGCTTGTGGATGTTTTGCCTTTGCAGTGAATGCTTGACTTCCTAATAATAACAACCCATAAAACCGGCACCTACTGTATGAGTCTGTTTGAACGAGAGTTAAATGCATTATTCTAACTCTGTGTTTTTCTTTTTTTTCAGACCACGTCCACTGTTGTGGTTTTACTGAAACTGTGATGCGATTGGCTATTTCTGCTCTGGTAAGCGTGGCTGCTGTTGCTTTTCTGGTTTATGACATCAGATCTACAAGAAATGAGCTGAACAGGACGGAAGAGACTAGACGTCACCATCCGACCCACAGAGTAAAATCAGACCAACATCAGTTGAGCAGCACAATAAGTTCCAGATATGTTTGCTGAAGGTTGTTTGTAGAATTCCAAAAGGATGCAGATACATTTTCATTCATTAGCCATTTATTTGATCATATCTGCATAGAAGGACATTCTAACTGATCTTTTAAATTACAGGAACGGTTCACCCAGAAATGAAAATTCCACCAATGGATCCTCTGCAGTGAATGGGTGCCGTCAGAATGAGAGTCCAAACAGCTGATAAAAACATCACAAATGGACTGGACACAATGGACTGGAGTCAAGAATAATTTCTTGTGGATTATTGTGATGTTTTTATCAGCTGTTTGGACTCTCATTCTGACGGCACCCATTCACTGCATAGGATCCAATGGTGAGCAAGTGATATAAAGCATAATTCTGTTTAACGGAACCAAATCTGTTCCGTTAAAGAAACAAACTCCATCTTAGATAGTTTGAGGGTGAATAAATATTATACAGTGAGGTATTTGTATAAATACATGGATGTAAACATAATGACCCTAAACAGAATAACAATAGCAACACAAATGATGGATCTCATAGCCTCTCATTTCTGTTGCACCTTTGAAATGACCCGCAAAACTGATGGAAATTGATGTGTAATTTTTTTTTAAAATATATATAAAAATGTGGTGAAGAGCTTGTTTAATTTTTAATGTTTAATGGAACTTCAACTTTGACTCCTGGTCTTCATTGAGCATATTGGTCTCCATGGCATTTAATTGTAATTTCCCCTATACCTCTTTAGAGACACTATTTTAAAAGACGTCTGCTATGGAAATTAAAGCCCTTTTACGACAACGATTGCATGCTTCCAAAGTGGAAAGTACTGTAAACAAGAGTGTCAAATTCCAAATTCTTCTCCTCCCACGTCAAACATAGTCAGGCAAAATATACAAGATGGAACAAGAGCATGTACCATTTACAAAAGTAATTGTCTAACAGTGGAGCAGTTTACACATCCTGTTGCAGATAACAAAAATAAAGATAAATTACATTTTGTTACTGATAAACAAGCTCCCAAATTTTTAAACGTTCCCATTATAGTCTATTGATGGAAGAACATGTAAGAGAATAAAATGGTGTGATGTGTGGAGGCAACAAGGTCCGGTTCCCAATCCCAGTGCTTTCACAATGACCAAAATCAACTCAGTATCAAAAACAAGTTCTTTTATTTTGTGATTGTCAGAGGATTACAAGGATTCAAGAGGAGGCAAAGGCCAAACAAACATAACCCCTCTAACCAGTAGAGAGAAAAACTAACTAAACTATTAAAAGAAAAATACAACAAAATACACTAACTCCCCAAATAGCTTGAACAGGAGAAAACAAGTAAAAAAAAAAAAAAAATGGCACCCACCACTCTACTAACCAATTCCCCCCAAAAATAATATAAATGAATTAAGAATAATACACAAACAAATAGTAGCTTACAAACCAGAAAGTATTTCTTTTTCATAAACACCAATTACAACAAGAGTGTTAATACAATAACACTGAAGAGAAACCCAATCAACAAGGCATAAATTCCTCCAAACACAGCAGACAACCAATCATTGGAGTCAGTTGGCAGCAATTACTTCCTGCTAAATAGAGAGAAACAAATACGTCTCTGGACGTAATACACTCTAAATTCAGGTCACATTTGTAATTTGATTAAAGGATGTTGAAACAGATTTCCTTTAAAACATATCTTTGGATAACATATTTAAGCATGGTTATTTTATATAGCATAAAACATGCAAAGTTGAAAAAGAACGGTAACTTAAAGTAGTTGGTTAATTTCTGCAACAAAAGTGTCACATTGACACTGAATACTGAATATAGTCAGATTAATTTCTACACATGAGGAGAAGGTCATGTGATCTTTAGAGACACTGGGATCAAAGCTGAACGAGGACATTAACCGTGTACAGCACATACAATGGTTTGAGAGATACTTCTGTGGTAAAACACATCTTAGGATAACAGGTATGTAGTGTAACATTAATACAGTTATATATGACATTATTTCATTAACACATTCCCCTGTTCATCTGAAACCAAAACAGCTTTTTACACAAGAGACATGGGGTTCTCACTTTGACTGGATGGATTCTAGAGGCTTGTGAAAGAACTGAAATGTTGATGAGGTCACAGTGATTGACACTGGTGGGCGTGTCTTATCTCACTAAACTGAGCTCTTCTATATCTACTCATTTGATCCATCCTCTTCCTTTTGGCTCATAAAAGTTTTTCTTCATTCACGTCTTTTCCTGTTGATTCTGACAGGAAACACAGAGACAATCACAGAAATTAAAAAGAGACAAATCTGGAGATCAATCCTGTAGTTGTTCCTGAGAAATCAAAATGTCAATATTTTCCCGTCAAATTACCAATAGAAATGAAAATCATTTAAATAACACGTATTGCCAATAGCACATTTGAGTCATTTTATAAGTTAAATCTTGTTTGAGCATTTGCTCTTTTCTCACAAATGAACATGGCATTTATATTTGAGAACTCAGTCAACTCAAATGCAAAGTTCACATTGATCTTTTGACGCATTAAAAGATTTACAAATTAGCCATTTCTCTCAGGACAAACACTTATATTCACCTACATTCATTTCTGACTATCTGCCAGCTTGATTTCAGATGATTTTTCATTTTTTTTATTTGAGTGCAAACAACAGAATCTCACCTTCTTTCAGTTCATTTCCAGGAGCTTTTCCATAGCACATTTGAGTCATTTTATAAGTTAAATCTTGTTTGAGCATTTGCTCTTTTCTCACAAATGAACATGGCATTTATATTTGAGAACTCAGTCAACTCAAATGCAAAGTTCACATTGATCTTTTGACGCATTAAAAGATTTACAAATTAGCCATTTCTCTCAGGACAAACACTTATATTCACCTACATTCATTTCTGACTATCTGCCAGCTTGATTTCAGAGGATTTTTCATTTTTTTTATTTGAGTGCAAACAACAGAATCTCACCTTCTTTCAGCTCTTTCAGTTCATTTCCAGGAGCTTTTCCATCTGATCCTGTTTTAACAACAATCACAGACAAATTAGTCAATGAAACATCTACATTTATTAGACATGGTCACATGAAAACTAGAAAATTGTAACATTATTTTATTATGAATACCCATGAATACGACTGAATAAACAAACCCTTATTGTGTTAAAATATATTACATTAAACTACTCACCAAACAACAGAATCTCACCTTCTTTCAGCTCTTTCAGTTCATTTCCAGGAGCTTTTCCATCTGATCCTGTTTTAACAACAATCACAGACAAATTAGTCAATGAAACATCTACATTTATTAGACATGGTCACATGAAAACTAGAAAATTGTAACATTATTTTATGAATACCCATGAATACGACTGAATAAACAAACCCTTCTTGTGTTAAAATATATTACATTAAACTACTCACCATGCGTTTGAACTCCAGCATCTTCAGTCTTGGTTTTACGGATTACAAGGCTCTTTTTGCCCTGTCTGTCTCGCAATCTCTTATCAGCACCAAACGCTTTACTTATGGCAGTCTCTTGAACATAAATGAACCGTTCACTTTCACCTTCTATGATCTCTGATCTCGGTGTCTCTTCTTGTGTGACATCGGCACCTGGAAACAGAGACTTGTAAGAAGTTGTATAAGCAGAAATAGAAACTGTATATACTGTTAAAGGGGTCATCGGATGCGAAATGCACTTTTACATGTTGTTTGAACATAAATGTGTGTTGGCAGTGTGTGTACACAACCACCCTATAATGATAAAAATCCACCCAGTGTTTTTTTTTAATCTCCTAAAATCATTACCCCTTTCTCAAATCAAGCGGTTCTCAGATTCCTGCCAGTGTGACGTCACACAGACCCAGGCCCCTCCCCCGATTGTTGATTGACACTGGTGTTTTACCATAGACCCGCCCTGAGTGAGCTGTCATCAGTCCGCCATTGTTTCACCACCGGAGCAGATGTAAGCGATTGAGGTGTTCTGTTGTTGGATGTAATCATGAACATAGCAGTCGTCGTCTGACATCTGAGCCGCTGAAGACTCAGTGGATTACGTTTGTTTCTGAAGGGAATACGCCCCAATCTACCTAAATGTGCCTATGTTTGCACAAATCATTCATGATCCAGCTTCACCTACAGAAGAAGTGAGTATAAGTTTTTTTTATAACGTGCTAGTTAGCCAGTTCCAAGGCTAAATGCAGGCTAAAGTAAACAGTCCCTCAGAGAGCAGCTTGGAAGAGAGGGGCGGGGTCAGCAGAGCTCATTTGCATTTAAAGGAAAATGCTACAAAACGGCTTGCTCTGAAAAGAGCTGTTTTTGACAGGGTAAAAAGGGTGTTGTTTTACACTACCACTGAGAAATTTTAACCAAAGTATGTTATAGACTTTTCATTAAGAACCCTAAAGAATCAAATAAACTTGTGGAAAATGGGCATCCGATGACCCCTTTAAGAAATGGTTAGTGTGTGTTATACGTACTTTACATTTCAACATCTATCCAAATGCACAAAGTACGTTGTACCTGTAAATGTTACGTGGGAATACCTACCTAAAACACAGAGACAAGGTTTGCTTTCTAAATACAAAAATAAAATGTCTTTAATGCAGGAGCTTCTTCAACGTTTTTGTAGAGCAACCTGTGCATTACATTTATGCCGAATATACAAGCATTCTTGCAGCTTTAAAATGAAAATATCCTTGAAAGTAAAGGTCTGTTTGTGATTTCCATTTTGCTGACAACAAATCTATACAGAACTGAACCCTTTTAATTGATCGCTGGATTGTGTCACATGACTAATCTTGCATCACTTGTTTTGAATACCTCTGTTTTCACAGTTTTAAGCCAAAAAGACGTTTAAATCCATTACATTATATACAACAACTATACTTTTTCATTGAACATCTCTTATCGCACTACAAAACATATTGTGCACTTACTGTATCAGTTGTAATACGTACGTGTTTCTTGTTCAGAGATCTTCACATCCTCGGTCAAATCTGCACACAGAAACAGAGAAATTATATTATAAGAGAATGAACAGATGAACATGTCAGCAACCCTGAGAAGAATTCCTAGCCTACATATTTTAAGATATGTATGAATTGGTCGCGAAACAGCATTGGATTCTTTATGTACTTCTAATAATCACGTCATCATCTGCATGACTTTTTATTATTGAACAGTAACAATTATACTAATGTTGTATGTGTGAACATTAGTTAAATCCATCATTTATGAGAATTAACAATAAACAATACTTTTCACAGCATGTGTTTGTTAATGTAAGTTAGTAAGACAATATTTACACTAAACTATCAATACTTTGTTGAACAATTACCAAGCAACGCTTAATTTTGTTCAGTCTGTGGTGTAAAAAGGTCACATTAGCAATTAAAGAAAAACACTTAAGCAAAACATGGTCAGGTCAAAGCGTCTGAATAATTTTTGGTCCCAAATTTGTTATCAATTTTACTGGTAGTCCCCTGTATGAAGAATTCTTGGGTATAATATGTCACAGTTTATTTTTCTATCCTCACTTAAATAAATGAACTATTATCCCACTAGTAAAAAAATAAATAAAAAATCTGGTGTCTGAATAATTTTTGGCTTGACTGTATGTGTATGTGTATATATATATATTATGTGTATATATATATATATATATATACATAGAGAGAGAGAGAGAGAGAGAGAGAGAGAGAGAGAGAGAGAGAGAGAGAGAGAGAGAGAGAGAGAGAGAGAGAGAGAGAGAGAGAGAGAGAGAGAGAGAGAGAGAGAGAGAGAGAGAGAGAGAGAGAGAGAGAGAGAGAGCATTAAGAAGGTTCAGGCATGCAAACAACAAAATCTCACCCTTTAGCTCGTTTAGTTCATTTCCAGGAGAGTTTCCATCTAATCCTGTTTTAACAACATTCACAGATGAATTAGACAATGAAACCTTATTAGACATGATAGTCACATTAAAACTAGTTTTTGTACAAAATCTGTCAGCTGTTAAATCTCATAGTCACTCAATTTGAACTCTTCTTGTCAACGATGTTTGGCCACTGACATTAAGACATGTCAGGTTTAAGTGAGTGCAAATGAGATTTGACGACTTCAGCTGATGGGATACTGTCAGTGAATAATGATCTACATCTAGGTCTGTTCCTCACACGAATCTATAATTTGACTTCTGAAAACTTGGATAAGTGTTACCCATGATTGCAACTGAATGAACAGTTGAACAATGAACATAAGACCCTTCTTATATTAAAAATATTACATGAAAAGACAACTACTCACCATGTGTCTGACTCTGAACTTCATCATCTTCAGCTCTGATTGCAATGCTCTTCCTGCCCTGTCTGTCTCTCAATATATTATCAGCACCAAACGCTTTACTTATGGCAGTCTCTTCAACAACAATGAACCGTTTCCTTTCACCTTCTCTGATCTCTGATCTCGGTGTCTCTTTTTGTGTGACATCAGCAACTACAAACAGAAAAAATACAAAGACAAAGCAGACATTACATCAAATGTGTTTGCATGTGAACATCAGAGTTTTGAAATTACTACACAAAAAATACTTGTTATTTTTATCAGATTTGATCTAACACACAAACTTCATAATGTCTTCGTTTGGGTTTGCTGCATCAAAAACAAAACGTATTTCGGGTGATGTGTGCTTTTGAATGAGATGTGTGCGACTTCCTGAAGTGGATCATGAATGGGATTTTCAGCAATTAATGGCTTAAAGTTTCACACAAAACTACTGTAAACTGTCAGAGAGGACGTAGAATGTAAAACAGTGTTGTTTGGATTACTCTGATACTGCTTTCTGCCATTTTTAGAATAGAGTATTGCTATATGTATTATACAGTTCAGCATCTATCCAAATGCACAAGTAGTATATTTTTGCACCTGTAAATTTTATAACTACTTAAAACAATGAGACCAGGCCAACTGAAGCAGACAGAGATCAGACTTTATGGCGTAACTCAAAGGTTTGTCTATGTGAGACGACACTATCAATGACCCACACAGTTTTTCTTGCAGGTCTTTTTTTGCTGTTGTTTGCAGTCACACATGAAAGGGTCTGGAGAAATGTAATACATTACATAAAGAAAAGTATACATTTTCTTTAAAATCAGAATAAAAGTCTCAACTTTATCTAAAATGCAGTGAAGTAAAAGTCAACCATATTTATACTACAAATGTACAAAAACTGTACTGTACAGTAATGAAGCATTTGAACCATATTTCTACAAACTTATGGGTTTTAACAAAGCATTGATCCCCTTTTTCATTAAACATTTCTTGTTGCACAACAAAAAACATTTCACACTTCCTGTACCAGTTTCTTGTTGAGATGTCTCCGTTTCATCTGTCAAGGCTGCACAAAGAAACAGAAATTAGATTTTAAGTGAGTGATCAGATGAACATGTCAAAAACACTGAGAAGATACTTTGTAATTATTCATGTGCTTCTAATAATCACTTCATTCTCAACATTACTTTTTAAAACCCTCATCCATCCCTCCCGAACCTGTAACAAAAGTGTCCCTTGAGGGTCAAAATTACCCGAAGGCCAAAAATGACACTTTTTTTATTTATTTATTTTTTTTGGTCCAGAAAGCTTATATTGATCCATATATACACTGAACAAAATTATAAACGCAACACTTTTGTTTTTGCCCCCATTTTTCATGAGCTGAACTCAAAGATATAAGACTTCTTCTATGTACACAAAAGGCCTATTTCTCTCAAATATTGTTCACAAATCTGTCTAAATCTGTGTTAGTGAGCACTTCTCCTTTGCCGAGATAATCCATCCACCTCACAGGTGTGGCATATCAAGATGCTGATTAGACAGCATGATTATTGCACAGGTGTGCGCCTTAGGCTGGCCACAATAAAAGGCCACTCTAAAATGTGCAGTTTTATCACACAGCACAATGCCACAGATGTCGCAGTTTTGAGGGAGCGTGCAATTGGCATGCTGACTGCAGGAATGTCCACCAGAGCTGTTGCCCGTGAATTGAATGTTAATTTCTCTACCATAAGCCGTCTCCAAAGGCGTTTCAGAGAAGTTGGCAGTACATCCAACCGGCCTCACAACCGCAGACCACGTGTAACCACACCAGCCCAGGACCTCCACATCCAGCATCTTCACCTCGAAGATCGTCTGAGACCAGCCACCCGGACAACAATCGGTTTGCATAACCAAAGAATTTCTGCACAAACTGTAAGAAACCGTCTCAGGGAAGCTCATCTGCATGCTCGTCGTCCTCATCGGGGTCTCGACCTGACTGCAGTTCGTCGT